CAAAAACCCCAGCCCCTGAAATACCGATGCGTGGATGCCTATTGGTTCCGGTTGGTGCCACCAACCAAAACAAAGGGCCTCCTGCCTGGACTCGCCGCAGCGGCCACGTAAAGGCCCATCTGTCCCGATTCGTGTAAGAACCGGGACTAAAGGGCTAGGGCATTAGTAATGACCCTTTAATCCTGATTCAACAACCGGAACTAAAAGCCCTTACGAACCGGGACAAATAGCCCTTTTTCTACTAGTGGCGGAGGCAAGGCAGCCACGGCCTCCACCACCCTCGCCGCACATTGGTTTGATTTCTCATCCCTGAGATGAACCTAAGCTGCACTTGTGTCTTCCCTCAACAATATGCTCGTCCTCGAAGCCCAGTTGTGAAAGCATGTCGCTGGGGACATGCTGGACGCAAATAATAAACAATAATATATTTATTGAGTGGCAATGAACAATAATATATACAATATTTTTTTAGTTGAAATAATTTATTTATTTGACAGGTAGTTGAAATAATATATAGTACTATCCTTTATCCGGAGTTCCGGACACACAGCAAAGGCCACGGCCCGCGGCTCCTTGGGTTTTGTTTTGGGCCGTGGAGAGGTGATCGAGCGTGAAGTGCAGCGGCGGATAAACGGAGGTCTTCGGCTCGCAACCCTCGTCTCCGCCGCTCGCCCAAACCCTTGACTTCCAGCCTGATCGCGCCGCCCGCCTACCTTCCCCCTCTCCTCGCTGTTCCCCTCCCCCAGCTCTCTCATCGCCCTTGATCTCCATCGTAGCTCCCACGATCGATGGCATCATCGCAGAGGCCGACAGAAAGGAGGGCGTCGAGGTGCACCCCAGTCATGGCGCGGGCCACGCTCGCATTCGAGATCGTCGCGTACAGCCTGCATAAGGGCATGGGCAGCGGCAGATTCATCCGGTCCCCTCGCACCTCCGTTGGCGGCTACGAATGGTGCATCCGCTACTACCCTGACGGAGACGAGGGCGAGGAGGACCATGTCTCAGTCTACCTCGAGCTTCTGAGCAAGGGTGCTAGGGCAAGGGCGCTCTATGACTTGAGGTTGCTCAACCAGGCCAACGGGCTGTCATCATCGGTGACGTCCTGCTTGAAGTCGCCGACAGTGTTCGATTCCGTCGACACCATTAAGAACAAATATGCTTGGGGTGTTCATTCTTTTATGAAAAAGAGTGAGCTGGAGAACTCGCCTTACCTGCGTGATGACCATCTTATAATTGAGTGTGATCTCAGTGTGATCAGCAATGTGCCGCTTGTTGCCGATACCATGGAGATCCAGGTGCCGCCATCAGACTTGCCACATAATCTCGGAACATGGCTTGAGACTGGCGAGGAAGCAGACGTGACATTTAATGTTAGAGGGGAGACTTTCCCTGCGCATAAGGTCGTGCTTGCAATGCGGTCACCGGTCTTCAAGGCAGAGCTCTATGGACCGATGGGAAATCGGACGGAACGCAACATAACCGTGGAAGATATGCAGCCTGCTGTTTTCAAGGAATTGCTTCGCTTCATCTACAAAGATTCATTGCCTTCTGTGGACAACCTCGATGATGACATGGTTAAGCATTTACTGGTGGCTGCAGATCGGTACGCCATGGAAAGGATGAAGATGATATGCGAAGGCATTCTCTGCAGAAGCCTTCGTGTCGAGACTGTGGCAACCACGCTAGCTCTAGCTGACCAGCATCACTGCAGCAGGCTCAAAGAAGCCTGCATTGAATTTATCATCTCTTCAAATAGAATGGCTGCTGTGGTTGCAAGCCAAGGGTATGCGCACTTGAAAACATCATGCCCTGCTGTCTTAGGAGACATCTTGGAGAGTGTAACAAAGTCTCGCACAGTTTAATGTGCTCATCCCAGGGTAAAACTTGGATTAGTTGGCTTACCTTCACTTGTCACTTTCTAGAGATCTTTTTGAGGAGCAACTATATAAGTCTTGGAAAGTTCAGTATGCTCATCTTGGATTCATGTGTTAGCTTCCATGTACTTCCTTATTGATACATAGCCATTGAGATGAGATGAATCTAGCCTATATCTGCTCTATTTGATTTCTCCTTTTTTTTCCTAAACTTTGGGGAAGCCTTCGTATTCGTTGTCATCTATTCTTTGAGAATATATAGGCATCTGAGATGAATCTAGTCTATATCTCCTCTTTGATTTCTCCTCTTTGTTTTTCTAAAATGTGGGGAAGCCTTCGTTTTCATTGTCATGTGTTAGCTTCCATGTACTTACTTGATGCACGTGCTGCTGTACTGATGCACTTGCAGGTGAAGGTTCAGTGATAGATTTTAATTAGAGAAAAGGCTTTGAAATGTTTTCCACACGATGGGTTGACCAACAGACATGGACTTGACAATCATGAGAGTTATATGCCGTTTGGAAATCACTTATGAGTTATAAAAGACATGCTGGTCTGCAGTCTGCACAGGTAACATACTCGGTTAGTCTTCTGTTCATGAATCGTGGCCATAGGGCATGCCATAGGCCTTATGGCATTATCAGAAGGGAAGCGTGAGATCTGGTTGAACTGAATAGTATAAGATGCTAAGAAAAGAATCAAAATTGTTGTCTCCACTACTGTAAAATCCATCTGTGCCGAGTTCTTAGTCTTTCTTCGAGTTCCAAATCACCGATTCTCAGCAACCACAATGTAAGCCAAGTACAACCCTCGGCAACCACTGCGACTAGAGATAGAGACGTGTCATTGCCGAGATCCAGAGAGCTAAGACTCGGTAAATAAAACAAACTCGGCTTATGCGACCTATGCCGAGATCTAGACAGACAATTCCCAACAAAGTTGGTGCCACGTGGGATCATGGCAGGTGCCGTCTGCTCCATCACGACGCGCCGCTTTTGCCGAGTGCCCATAATAGGGGGCTCGGCGTACTTTTCATCAGCCATTTTTTTCACCACATCGATAATATTTGTAGAGTTCCCGACAAAAAGAACTCACCAAAACCTTGACCCTACGTCTCGTGCGTGATATAAAGTATAAACCCACATGCGTGGCCAGCTCGGCTATGATCTAGCTAGCCGCCACCTCCTCCACCGCCGGATCCTCCTTACCACCGCCACGCCTCCCCACTGCGCCACCCCATCTTCCACGGCCGCCTCCACTATCGGCCGCCTCTCTCCTCTCCGTCAACACCTCCTCCTCTCGGTGACACACTTCAACCGAATCCCCGCGGCCTCGGACGACCATGTTCACCACCGGTATTTCCTCTACCAAGGGTCGGCAACAACCGAGGTTAGCTTCGATAATCACCATTTTTTGCTTCTTTGTTAAGGTAAAAAAGTGAAATATTTAGTGGTTAATTATTTCGTTTTTAAGTTATTATGGTATTGTTAGTTGCTAGCTATTTACCTAGGTGAATATGGATGGAATGATATGGAAACATATATGGCTGCTGAAATTTGATATGCATCACTACTACAGATCCAAATAGAACAGTCCCCTTATCACAGATCAGCCCTTGACCACGCGCCATTGATGAGACTTAATGCTGATCGACCACTCCAGAGGCGTCAGTGATATCGACTCTTCGACTTGGCAAGATGCTTATCACAGATAGGTCTAAATTTGGCCTGTCAATGATAGCTTGTCCCGATGATCGAAAAGGACCAAATGAAATCACTGCCGCTAATGTGGGCAAATAGCCCCCATGCGACGTCGTTGGTGTGAATTGTCTCTCATGCGACGTCGTTGGTTGTAATAGCTCTCATGCGACGTCTCCCAACGCATAAATAGCTCAAGCAAGACAAACCATTTACGCGGCTAGTTGGCTGTTAGTTAGGCTGAGGTTTGGTTAGGACACTGGGGGTTATGTGCTCTGACTGGTGGGGTCCACCTAGGGCCACGTAGTAAAGAGTCAACCGTCCACGACTCGACCGGTGACTGTGTGACCGTGCTCGACTCGCCCGTGCTGGACTGGGCGAGCGGCGCCTCCGTAAGCATCTTCTCCGGCATCGGTTTCTTCTCCGCGGTGGTGGAGCGCATTTCTTGGCAGCGGCAGAGCTATTGCGAGGTGAGCCCGAAACCCTAGTCCCACTCCCCAGAATTTTTGGGGATCTGTGGCCTCATGCTGCCCTCTGTTTCTTGGCGATTTAGAATCGGGCTCTATTGGATCCGGGGGTTGTTTCTTCTCCGCGGCCTGGTGGTGGAGCGCCCTTCTCTGCAGCGGCTATTGCCAGTGAGTATTTTCCAAACACTATTCCCATTCCATTGAATTTTGGATAAATCTATGGCCACATGCTGCCCCTGTTTCTTGGCGTTTTAGAATCTCGATTGGATAGGAGATGGAGCGAGGGCTGGATAAGATGGAGCGAGGAGACAGTGCTTCAAATCGGTAATGCCACCCTCTTTTCTTGGCGATTTAGAATCGAACTCGATTTGGTAGTGACTGCCGCCGCTGCCTGCCATTGACAAAACAGGGAAGGTTCAGGTTCTGCCACCACATTCACAATTATAGTGGAATTTTTTCCCTGTAAAGCCAAGCTCAGTGATGGCAGTGTCCAAGACATTGATAGAGATACCACCGTGAGGTTGGATGTCGAATTTGCAGATGTTGATCCCCAGGAATTGGAGAGCATGAAGGAGAAGGCCGTGGGCAATTTGGTGGAGAGAATTGGGGAGAGTATTGTTTGGGTCCAGAACAAGAGGTATCTCCGCAACGTTTTGATAACTATAATGGTGAATATGTGAGAATTGAAGATGGAGAATCCATGGTTGCTGAAATTGATCAGCAAGAAGGGTGGGCAAGCAAACAAGTAACATTTTATGCAGAGCTAATTGATCTGCAAACTCATTCCAGAGTTGGTTATGTGCCATCAAAGATGGCTGCACAGATGGAAGATGATGAGTGGGTTTCACAAAAGAAGGTTTTGGCATTGTTGACTGAACCGACTGTAGTAGCTGAAGATACAGGGATTGATGCAGATGGAGAGGAGGGAACCCATGGTGCTAGGAAGATTGTTGTTGACTGGAATGTAGTAGAGTTGAATGAAAAAACAGATTTGGTCATTACACCAATATCTGACATTGATATGGCCGAAATGTTTGGCATTCAAGTTGATGACAAAGATAAGGAGAAGGATGATAGTTCTTTGCCTGCTGAAGGTAACACAGGCCCTAGAAATGCAAATGAGGATGAAGAACAGCTGATGAGAGAGGCTGCAGATGATGTGGATGATGCAGATGATAATGAGCTGGTTTGTTTGTATGACAAAGAGAACCCAGTTATTGAGGTGGGAAAGTTGTGGCCAAGCATGAAGGAGTTTATGATGTCTTTCAGGACCTATGCAGTGAAAAAAGAGTTTGATGCCAAGAGTATGTGGACTGATCGAAAGAAATTTTATGCTCGGTGCAAAGGTTATGATGGTGGTGGCAATCCTTGCAAATGGTACTTGTCTGCCAGACTACAACCTGATGGAAGTACAGTAAGGCTAAATCAAATACCACACCAGCATACATGTATGACCACTTCACAGAGAGTTTCAAAGATGACATCACAGCTTTGGGTTACAGAGAAGATTACTCCTATTTTAGCCAAGACTCCAAACACTACTGCAAAGAGGCTTAAAGTTGACTTGGAGAAGCTATACTCCATCCAGCTGCAATATACCACAGTGTGGAAAGCAAAACAAAGGGCCATGAAATCATTCTATGGTGACTGGGCAAATACATTTAGGATGTTTTATAGTTTTAAAGCAGAGGTGGAGAAGAGGTCACCTGGGAGTGTGGTGGAGATAGATACAGAGGTAACAGAGGATGGCAAGGTTTTATTCAGCAAGTTTTTTATGTGTTTGAAGCCTTGCATAGATGGATTCAAAGCAGGTTGTCGTCCATATTTGAACATAGACTCATCTTTTTTTGACTGGAAAGTGGAATGGTCAATTGGCTGCATGCAATGCTTTAGATGGACACAACTGGATGTTCCCAATTGCAATAGGAATGTTTCAATCAGAGACAGAGGCATCATGGATATGGTTCATGATGCAACTGAAAAGAATAGGGCCAGTTTCTCCTTTGGCCATCCATACAGATGCATGTAAAGGGTTGGAAAATGCAGTAAAAAATGTTTTCCCCCATGCTGAGCAGAGGGAGTGCTTTGGACATATGTGGATGAATCTGATAAAAAAATTCAGAGGAGATGAATTTGGGCGCATGTGGCCAGCAGCAAGATCCTACACCAGACAGACACATTCCTATCACCTTTGTAAGATATTGGCATCATGTAGTGATAATGAATTTGCTTCATGGTTGAACACCCACCATTCTCTGTTGTGGTATAGATCAGGTTTTAATACTGCCATAAAATGTGATCATATCAATAACAACTTGGCAGAAAGTTTTAACAACAAAGTGAAGGATTTGAAAGACTTGCATGTGCATGACATGGTGGACCAAATAAGGATCATGATCATGCGTTTGTGGGAGTTGAGAGGGAAAATTGCTAATATTTTGAAAGGGGACAAGCTTCCACAGTGGTACAACAGGTGGTCAACAGGAGTAGAAATCTTTCACATCTATCTGTTGGGAAATCTTCCTTGTGGGGTGCTGAAGTTAGAGATACAAAGAGTGGCAAGAGGCATGTGGTAAATACTGAGTTGCATGAGTGCACTTGCCAAGAGTGGCAACACACTAGAAAACCATGTGAGCATTCCATACTTTTTTGGCATCTAAACCCAGGTTAAATATGCACCCATATTTGCATGAGTATTATTCAGTACAAAAATTCAAAGCTGCATATGCAAGTCCAATTCCTGCACTGACTGACCAATCTCAATGGCCTGAGGTGGAAATAGAATTTACCTTGTGTCCCCTTGTCACTAGAAGAAAGGCTGGGA